CGAAGTGAAAACATCGATCGTTTTGTGGTGAGTTTTCGAGCAAATCGCGCGGATTTTCTAATAAATATGGAGGATTTTCGCATGATTCTTCTTGTCTAATTAGTTGAAAATATGTAGTTTTTAGATGTCTGATCCAAATGAAAGAAACGGCGATGAAAACAGCGTTATTTTAGCGATAATTCTGAGTATTCAGAGGAAGAATCGAGCTTTGATGATCAAAATAACGATGATTTTGTACCGAAAATGTGGACCCGTGTTTTTCCTCCCGAATGCAAAACTTGGCATGACTGGGAGACTTTCATGAAAAATCTGGGCCATAATAGGGTTAAAAAGGTGATATTGAGCCAAACCCTGTACATAATCCAAAGAGGTTTATTGAGAGTAACAATGAAAATTCATGGTCAAAATTTGAGTAATATGTCTCTGATTAAACATGCAGTAGCAGATGCATTGAATGTTACTTTGAATATAACAGAATCAAATGAAGGATTTGCACCAATCACTATTATTAGACCCAACGTGTGTAGAGGATAATTCTAGTGAAATCAATATTGGCCATCTTGAAGAATTTCATTATGTGTCACACAAAGGCAGGGATGCCAACTCTCCCGGATAATCCGGGAGTCTCAAGATTTTCGACCGTTTCTCCCGGTCTCAAGATTTTACCGCTAAATCTCCCGGATAATGACGATTCATATATCAGTTTTTTTAAAAACCTTTTTTCATCTATTAAAACTCAAATTACCTTGCATATCATGTTAGTTCTGAAAAAATACAACAATCCCAGTCTTCTGATAACAATAACACTGCACGCCATCCRCGKCCATTTTCAATTGCAYAATASAATCTATAATATGATYGGTTAAGATACATCCAGTCAAATCACTAGTTATAACGAAATTTGATAAAAGCGATGACGTCATCGATAATGTTATGAAACGTCATATTCGGTATGACGTCATCATTTTCGTTCTCAAGATTTGAAAAGTTCGGGGGTTGGCATCCCTGCAAAGGACCATGCTGCAATCTAGCATTTCAAGTTGAATAGAAAATGAGAATGTTGGTATAGTTATGACTAACTGCAATAATGCCATGAGAGGTCTTGAATGTGTTGTTTTGGTAAATAACCGTAATCAATTGCAAGTCTTACAACCATCTGATCTTTAGTCCAGTCAAAATAGTGGAAAAAAAGGCTCAACCCGTAACAAATTGCAACAGAAGGTTTCTCAACGGTTTTTGACTCAGAAACAAGTGACTAATAACATATTAAAAGTCTATAAAAATCTAATTAGGGGAAAATCGTTATAAATACGAATCTTTTGGGTTGATTGGAAGTGCGCATGGAAACGAGGCTAAAAAAAGATTGTATTCAATTCACTCGAATATTGCTTTATTTTGACTTTGAAGCTAAAAATAAGTTAAATTAGAGTCTTCTTGTAAGTTCAAGACTGATATTTATTCAGTTTTTTAGCATATTGCGATTTATTATACGTTGATAAAGTAGGGCCTGGTCCAGGTATTAATTTCATGGATATTCATTTGTCTACTTATAACTTCCCATAATTTAAAATTTTCAATAAATTATAGTTAAGCTTAAAAGTTTTTTGTRTATTTTACTGATTTTAAAAACTTTTTGCCTYAACTAATCTTGATGATAATTGATTGGTGATCTTTTGTCACTAAACTAGACATGACTAGTTGCCAATTACACCTAGCGGACGACTATTTTTACACATGAGCCACATGAGAAAACTTGTGATCGCGGGGGGGTGACTGCCTAATATCAAAGGGCGGGGGTCCTCGGCGTCCCTTTTAGGGTTTGAAATCAGTATTTTGGTCCCGTTTAGGGTGTTCATGACAAGAATTCCTACCAAATGAGTTTTGTGGTCCCTTTTAGGGTATACGGCGACCCTAAGCAGTCATAAAATGGCAACGTCGTCATAAANTCACACATGCGTATTACATCAGACAATTGTTTTCCAGAGAATCGCAATCATAATGGAAAGTGTAAGATTTGCTAAAAGGACGTTGAGAACACACCAAAAATACCGTTAAGCTCCATGAGAAGGGCAGTGCCATTATCATATGCAATGAGTTGTAGGCCTTGAAATCCATGTCAAAAACTGATATGTTTGTTCAAGTACTGGTTGTTTACTAGTCTCCTTTGCATCCGTTTCCGGCGTTTTGACACCGGAAACGGATGCGAAGGACTAGTTGTTTACTTCATTGGACATTTATCACTGTAATACGCTTAGCTACAGTGGCGGATCCAGGATGTTTGGAAGGAGGGTGACTATTTTATGACAAGTATTTCATTTGAAAAAGTTACGTATTTAATATTCAATTTTTCTATCTATTAATCAATGCAGCATACACTATAGCAGCTACATAAAAAGATAGTTTTGGGTATTTTGCTGCTTGTTTCTTTTTTTTTTAGTGAGTGTTTCTCTATGTAGAGTAACAACTATTTTACATCAAAACTAATATAAAATGATACAGATAGGAGAAAAGCGATGGCTTCTACATTCTCCTAGGATGGAGCTGCATAAATGCCCGGCATATTTCTTGTGTGGTTAGGGGAATAGCATTGCCATGTATAGCAATAAACGCTAAATCTGACAGCGTCTCTGTGGTCATCGTTGTCCTAAGCCAAGTATAGATTCGTCTAAGGCAAGAACGATCTTTCAGCCTTGACACTTCCGATGGGAAGGACATCTTCAATAGCTCGCGCACATTGGGCAAAAGATCTGGTSGGCATGTTGCGCTAACGCTATTGGACCTATTGTTATTGGTTGATCTTCTTTCTTCTCTCCTTTTCCAGTAATTGCATCATCTGAAAAACTTACTDTCAAATTCTGTCGCAATTGTTAGAATATCAGTCCCATTTTTCTTTTAGAATCTTTGAAACTTCTCCCACTTCGTTTTGGCTTTTTTCTCTCTGATYAGCTCGGGCACAAGACTAATAAATTCATCTTGCCATTGCTAAATCTTGACTTTAACTCTTCGATTACATTCCTAAAAATGTTCAAAAATGGTATTGCAACWGTAYATTTCCAATAATCTTCAACTGTATTTGCTTGAACGTTGTCTCTGTGTGTTTATATATGTGTTTGACAAAGACGTGGACATTCCTCAAGACAAAAGATCCCACTAACTTTGAAAGTCGCAAGACGTTAGCGTATATACGTTAGTAGATAGCCTATCACTCTTGAATGCGCTGTTGAAATAAAGCTAGGTTCAATAAAAGTTGAGCTAAAAACAAATGGAATATTGTATGTATTTTGCAACAATCGGCCTGTAGCATCCTGTTCAAAATGCTATAGTTGAAGATAGATATACTTACTACTTCATATTGTCAAATCGAGTGATTTGGGTATTGTTTTTGTTTTGTTTTAGACAAATTAATTATTTTAACAAGTTTTGATTAAAAGACCCCACGTAAACGGTCAAAAACAGTCACTTCCGATTCTCAGCCTCGCTTTCATGTTATACATATAAATGAGTTCAATTTTAAGAACGTTCCCATGCCTCAATTGAATTAGACTTTTAGTATGTTGTTTTAGATGCTTTTCTGAGTTAGATTATGTAAAGAAACCTTCTGTTGCAATTAGTTCTAGGTCAAATTGTATTTTGACTGGACTACTTGTTTTAAGTTTATTAAAATGTATGCAGCTTCACAGATGACATTGGTTGCCATGGCAACTACATCATTTACTTTTTTTGCTGTTCATCACTAGTTCAATAAATATTCACTCAAAGACTCTTGCCAACTCATTGTCAAGGCACGAGTCAACCCTGAAATCAGGGTGTCATTTTATATCGTTAACACTCCTCGGACATTTTTTGTACASAATTTCTCTCAGTCAAACAACAATGGCATGACTGCATTTTCTCATGTAGTTTTGTCTTTTCATTTATTCCACCAAATCAAAACCTAAGCTTAAGCTTATATACAATTTAMTTATTTTTCCAGTGTTACTTACATTTGCAATTTTTGTTTATTACTTCTCTCAGGGACATAAGGGAATCATCGTTTTCCAAGGATGCAATTTTCAAGTGGCCACAGGGCACGTCGATCTGTGGGATGGAAGCTCGTGTAGTGGAACCTGCTACTTCAACAGTTGCAACAACGTCAGGCTGTTTAAACTGTAGCTGCGTTTTATCAAGAGCACAATGCATGCTGTAATTTATATAAGGCAATATTCTTGTATACGTGAACAAAGCCCAAACTTTTAAGATAGATTTATCGTGATACTAAATAAAAAAAGATTGACTGCCCGGGGGTGGGGGGGGGGATATTCCCCTATATTCGCTGTACGGGGACGTGCCGCCAATCAGGGTATCGTTTTCAGCGATTTTACTCTGGAACAGGGTATAGTTTTCAGCGATTTCACTCTGGAACAGGATCAGGGTTTTGACGTCCCAGCGGCACACCCCCACCCAAGTTTGGGGGGAGTACCTCCCCCCCCCGGGATTGACTGATTGATTGATTGATTCTGATTGACAAGCCTTAGCTTGTGTGTATCTTACTTTGATAAAGTAGGAACATGAATTTTGTGAGTATAAATCAGCAAATAGAATGTGCCTTGGCAATTTTTAATTMATCTCTGTTTTTTCTAACAAGCTGTTTGATAACTAATAACAATTAAACAAAGTGGAATCCTTGAAATAGGGGACTGTGCAATAATTACCAGGAGGTGGGGGGCGTAAAAACCAGAGGGGGGCAATACATAAAATTGATGGCAAGGTAGGGGGGTTCAAAGTAAAATTACCTAATTAAAAGAGGGGGGCCTTACCTTTCATTCAAAATGTTCATAATTTTCGATGTCTAAACGCTGGAAATCGCATTTCCAAGAGTTATTTATTTCTGGGGGAGGTCCAGACTCCCTTAATACTCCCGCCTTTGGCGGTTGTTAGAACCCCAGATCCAAAATATGTGTCGCGGTTCCTGACATGTGCATTAAAAGTCCACGCTACGCGCCTGACTAATGGAAATCTAAATTCAAAGACTCGTTGATGTGGGACTGAAATTGACCAAGGTATGAATTKKTTTTCAACTATTGATTTTTTCAATTTTGTCACATAAATTGAGGATGTAGTTTTCACATAAATTGAAGATGTAGAAGCTGAAAAACATATTGATGATTAGACATAACAAGCACAAGTAACACCAAAGTCGTTTTTGACCATAAAAACGTTACATAAGCCTTTTTTGGACCTTGAAAACCTTTGCTAGGAA